ACACAAGTAACCATTATCAACGCGCCAAAATGACCAACCTCTCCCCCCCCCAAAAAAAAAATTGCCTATCAAGTACGTTTCCTTTTTCTTTTAAGGGGTAGGGAAATGGAGGATTGAAATTAAAAACTAATAAGTGGGGTTGAGGCATGCGTAGGGACATTGTCATTACCTGACAAAAACGCAATAGTAATATATTCCTTACATATGGTTTTTTCCTCACTGTTTAATAATAGTTCTAAATTGCAAGATTCTCTACATTGCTAAGAGAAGCATCCGCTGAGTCAATTTTCCATTTTCCACTTCAATTTTATATTCTATTTTCTTACTACCTGACACCTAACAACTTTTAGGGCTAACAGTTTGATTTGGAACTATTCTTCTTCTTGTTTCCACACTTGTTTCTCTTATGTATATTCTTGTTTTGCATCAATCTTTTTCTTCCTGTGCAACATAACAAGTTTAATTTATAACAATCTTTCGTATCAGTTTATTTTAACATGTTATAATAGATAGTAATAATTTGCCTTATTTTAAAAAAATATTATCCCAATTTCTATTAACGGTTACTTGTCATTATCTTTTTATGTGAACTGATATATTCTAGAATTTCTTTGGTATTGTAAATATATAGACAGTGGCGAACCCACATGATTATAAGGGTGATCAATTGACCACCATTATTCGAAAAATTACACTGTATTTAGGTCAAATATTACGTTTTAGAGGTATATAACAAATATTGAACACCCTTTGTCGGGAATTTTTTCCACTTCCTTCAAATTTCAACACTCTTGAAAAAGTTTCTAACTTCGTAACTTTATATAGATCGTTAACCTCATATATATATATATATATATACATACATATGTATAGCTTTCTTTAACATCAAAATGATAGAAACTTACTTGAAATAACATTAAGAATTAATTTTGGATTGTATGTAGGACCCAAAACATGGACACTGGTGGCTAGAATTCGGGTCGGGTTTATTAGTAGGGTACTGGCCAGATTTCTTGTTCAGCCATCTGAGAAAACATGCAAGCATGATACAATTTGGAGGAGAAATAGTGAACTCAAGATCAATGGGATATCACACTTCAACACAAATGGGGAGTGGACATTTTGCAGATGAAGGTTTTGGCAAGGCTTCTTATTTCAGAAATTTGCAAGTAGTTGACTGGGATAATAACTTGATTCCTTTGTCAAATCTTCATCTCTTAGCTGACCATCCTAATTGCTATGATATTAGAGCTGGAAAAAATAATGTTTGGGGTAATTATTTTTACTATGGTGGTCCTGGAAGAAATTCAAGGTGCCCATAAAGAAAAAAAAATTAATGCAATTAATTTCATTTTGGTCTTGTAGAGTATCCTATTTTTCTCCCTTTTTTTTTTCTTTTTTCTTTTCTTGTGTCCCTATTTTGACCTAGGATTTAGAAGGTTTGAGTCATTTCTTAGATTTTTTAAGATAACAAGTTTGCTTTGCTCCAAAGAGCTCATCCATTACTTATTTGACCAATCATGAGCTGATCATGTAAATTTTGGTAAGAAGTTGATAATATACCATGGTTCCTATTGTATTGATTACAATTTACATCTATGTTATTTTAGTTTATTATGGAAATGATGTGTAGAAAAATTGTAAAACCACACCTACCCTAGGAACTTGGGAGTTAAAAGTCCTAGGTGTAATGACCAAAACAGCATCTTGAGAAACTCAATTACCCAATGTATCTGTCTTATTCTGTGCCAGTGGGATTACAGATTTTGGCATAGTTTCAAATAATTTTCTAGTAAGATGCTGATGGTAAATAATGTAGATTTGCATGTGGGAAGCATAGGGAGAATACTACATACATAAGTCTAACTTCCCGGGCATTATACTATATTTCCTCCGTTTTGACTTATGTAGCCTAGTTTGACCTGACATGAAATTTAAGAATTTTTTTTATTTTAAAACTTATGGTCTTAATATTTATGTAATTATATGACATTTGACACTTGTGTTCTTAAATATTCATAATATTTGTTTGGTTCTATGAATTTTTCAGTAAGGAAAAAGTTTAAAGTTAAATGGACTAAATATAAAAATGTGTTAATCTCTGACTAATAAGGAAAGTTTTAAATAGAAGGTGTACTATCGTCTACCAGGCTTAAGGCCAGCTTCAAGACAGAAGAAAAGAAGCAATATTTAATAATCAAAGAGTCGCCAACAAGACAGGTTGTTGTGATTACAATAGTAGAAGTTATCAAGGCCCAGTCAACCCAACAAAAGCATCCAATAAATGGAAACAGTCAAAGTTCACTAATCAAGAAACATGGTTTTTATCAAGAAACTATTACTATATACGTAAATTCAAAGACGAGACTTGTTGCATGTACCCGTTAAACAACATGTCAATTGTTAGGATAGTTGACAAACGTTTACAGAAGAAAATAGTATATCTCATAACTTAAGAGTTAAGAGAACAGGATTTACGCCCCTGGTTTTCTAGCAAACCAAATGATCTCCCCTACATTTTCCAACTGATACTTCTCTTATACTTCATTTAACTTCATAACAAAAAACAAAGGTCTAATACTTCCCTAGCAATCTTCTAAACTGTTGCTTCAGTTCAAACCATGACTGCTGTTAGTAAGACCCAGGGAATGTTTACTTTTCCAACATTTACAAGCTTTTAAGGAGAAAAAAAATGTAGTCATCATAACATACTTAGCAAATTACATGGAACAAAAACGTTACCATATATTGCGAAAAGAGAGAGAGCCAAAGAGGGTGATAATACACCCGATATATTCCTTACGGGTCATTTGGTTAGGGGTATGGGATAGACAAGGCCCATGGGTTGGGATATCCCATGTGATTAGCTATCCCACTTTTTTGTAAGGGATATACCAAAATGGTTCCCTGGACTAATTAATACCCATAACACAAATGCGGGATAAAATAATCCTGCATTTTATTCCGCACCAATCAAACGAACCCTAAGAATCAGCATGCCTTCCTCTATGGATAGCAAGCTACTACCTTGCAAAAAAACATGAGCTTCATATTTCATACATGTATACTGTATACAGGCATTTCTAACCAGAGAAAGCACCACCCAATTCTGTCAGAGCATCATCGATAAAGGTAACTAGGTCTTCAGAACTCTGAACTTGGGATCCAATCAAACTAGAAAACGTCAACTCTTTACATTGCGATAATGCTTGGGTCACCTCACTTTGTTCATGTATCAATTCATATGTTTTCCCAACGGCAGCATAGAGCTCTATAAACGAGTGATCCTCCAGGTTTTTCCTCAAATCAAGTAAAACACCTTGTCTGTTACCTGCATCTATGTTTTTCATCTTCACAGCAATACTTCTTATAGATTCGAGGTTGAAATATATGTGCTGAATCATTTCTGAGGATTTCCGACTTGGTTCTTTCTTTCCATGGCCAAGTTTATGAAGTACGGCTACATTTGCAAAGGCAAAGCGCACAATGAAAATGAAGAAGTCGTAGAAGTTCATGCCTACGAGAGAAAAGGAAGATAGCCAAGTTAGCCAGATGGTGACAGTATCAATCAGAATTCAGAACATGATAACAAAATTGTTAGAACTATCCTAGGAATTAGAAAGAGAAACGTACACAAGAGACTGCAGCTAGATTTATATAATATTTACGTACAATAAGATACTTAGAAGTTCTTCCTTCTGTAAGTGCGCTCACAAGGGAGTTTCAACAAAAGATAACAAAGCCAAAGCAGGACTTTCTTCAAATTGTCCTGTTAAAACTCAGCTACACACATGATTAATTAGTGGGCTACAACCCCCACAACCCGTCCATTATCTAAAAGGACATACTATAAATTTTTAATCTAGAGCGCACCCGTATTAGCTGCAAGGTTTCGCTGACAAAGCTCCTCAAAATCATCACATCCTTTGAGGTCTTCGATGTAATCACTAGCCTCAGTGTAGTCTTTCAAAAGTAAATCCCACTGATGTCACATATAGATATGATTAGTTTCAGAAGAAAAAGAAAATCACTATCTCTCTGTAAGGGCTTGTGAGCAAGCATTTAACAGCAACATTACTTACCACCCACGATAAATTATATCCATTGAACCAGTTATGATTTATGGATATGGTATCCTCCTGAAATTCATGTTACATATTTGGATTTAGCAGAAATACAACCCACAGATCCTCGAAATAAACATGAGAGAGCTGTTCTCAAATGCATTTTCAGCTTAATTACATGCCTAAATGGATCTTATCTTCCTTCCAACAGCCATATTAATACGATTAAAAGATCCTTCTTTTCCCAGAATCTATTGTCAAATGCTATGATAAACAGATCCAGAACAAATTATTGTAGAGTGTCTGCTTACCAATAATATGTAGATAACCTATCCATCTTAAACAGTTATGCCCAGTATATTTGGAAGACATCTCATCTGAATCCAAGCACTTTATACTCATCTAATGTGTGATGATGTAACTAGGACTGTAACCACCTTGTTATTAGATCCCTTTCCGCAACTCAAGATTACAACCTTCCAACAGAGCAAATTACAGCTTTACTTGTTTCAGTTTTAGCACTATAACACTATACGCAATATGTTCAGCTCTATAGAAAATAGTGTAGTAATGGAAGGAGCTATGACACTTTACTTAATACAAGGTAAGCTCCTCAAGTTTGTCAGTTGAATGAAAAAATGTACATCACTTCTCCTCTATGAAGAAACATAGGCCATAACAGATAAGAGATAATCATGTACTCCATAATTAAAGCAACAATACCAGATTATGAACTTGATGATACCATCCACTGGGCACGAAGATTACTTCATTTTCCTCTTGGGTGCACTCCCACCAGACAGCCTGAACTCATGATGGAAGTCAAAAATTAAATACTGAAAGAACATTTTGAATCCCAAGAAAGAATTGCCATAGAGACATACTACATAGGAAAAGTAATTAGTAACTTACCTTTTCAAATCCAGGAAATTTTGATTGAGAAACATCGGCAAAAATGTTATATACGGTACTTTTCATATTCCTGAATCAACAAAGAGTATACATTATATGAACTGGCAGAACAAGGAAGCATCATTCGTCCCATTAACATCATTTTCCCTGTTTCAGTAAAATACTTATAGCAAAACAAGGAAGCTTTTGCTTCTTTTAACCAATCATAAGTGGCATTACAAGTTAATAGTTATCAACGCTGAGATTACATGTTTGAGTTGATATGGGACATCTGTTTTGGATCTGGACACTAGAAATTCAGCAGTGTGCATTGCTTTCCGAGTCACTAAGACAATGTTTTCCAAACATTCACAGTTTCAACTTAATCTCATTTCCAAAGCCCAAGGAACAATGTTGGCAGGAAAAGAAAAAGGGTCTGAAGAAAGCCCATAGAACACAAAAAGATGTAGTATTACCTGTCAAAAACCAAGTGATGTTGACTTGGAGGCAGAAAATACCACTGCTTTTTTCCACAGACATTTGCAGACCAACTGTATGACCTGAATACATCAGCATGAAGAGGTGTCCATGTTCCTGTATCCATTTCAAAACATTAAACACTTCCCGAAAGTACTAGGTATTTGATTGAAAAGCAAACTAATTCATAGCTAGAGCCATGGAAAATAACAACCATGTCTTACAAGAAAGAATTTATCGCGCCTATGGTCAAACCTTTTGCTCCCATGTATACAAAACGATAGTCAGAGCAACTTATTTCATTTCTCTCACTGTATGTATCAGGATCATTATGCATATGAAATTTGTCAAGATAAAGATTCAGCCAGTCATCAGAAAAGTCCACGGGAGTTCTGTATGCAATATACTCCGGATACTCCTAAAAGAAATTACAATTTTTCTAAATCAGCAAGAGAAACATGTAAAATCTGCTAAATTTACACTTAGCAGCAGGAGACAACCATAAGATATAGTACTATACAAATTCTCTTTAAACGGATGGAGGTAGTAAAGGTCTTAACTTATCGATAAATTAATACAAGGCGGATCCAAAGTTGATACCTTTACAAAATGCCAATCTTTCAAATATAATAAAGGCTTGCCAGCAGCACCACAGTCACAGTTACCACCATTATTAGCAGAAGAAAGATGAAGCCAATGATCAACGAATTCAGAAACAGTCATTTCTATTCTCTTCTGATCAGTGAACTCTCTGGTCCCACAATCCGCAACCTGCAAATCACCAGCAGGGGTGACCAGTGACCACAAACCAAAAATATATAATTGGAAGAAAAAAAAATCCTATCTTACCTGAACTTTGGATTTCCCAAAATGGGTGGAGATAAAGTGAAGATTAGGTTTTCCATTAGGAGAGACCCAGTCCTTGCAAGCCCTCCAATCGTCCATAAGTCCAGTAAGAACCACAGGTTGGTTTTGGGCCATATATTTCTCCACAAACTCACCGTAACTAACTTCTCTTCCGTTCACTTTTTGAACTCTTCCTCCAATTTTCAATCCCATTTCTGTATGTTTCAGTTGCAGATTTCTCCTTCGTCCTTCTCCGTTTTACCTGTGAAAGTGTGTCGCCGCTGAATCTTGATTCTTCTCTAGTATACTTCTATTATTTGCTGTGTTGGGCTTTGGTGCTAATAGAAGTCGACAACTGGGCAGTTCGGCTGCAGAATAACGACGGAGTATTGCACCAGTAGCCACTTTTAAGCCTACTATTTTTTTGCTATTTATCCATAATTTATACTCCATGTATTTAATGGCAAACAAATGGGTCGGATGGGATATAAGTCAGGTTAAAAGTGGGTAATGAAAAAAATGAATAAATTAGCTGACCCGAATAATATTTAATATGGATAATATGGTTAACTTCTTGAATATGACTATTTTTGGGAGAATTACTAGATTCTCTAACTTGAGGAACCCTCAATTTGAGACTTTACAAATATAAAAGTTAAACTCATTAGTTATCCATGATTATTCATTTTCTAAATGGATAATATAGTTCTTATCCATATTTGACCTGTTTTTAAAAAGTTCATTATCCAACCCATTTTTAGTAGATTATATGGATGGTTAACTGTTTTTTAAAACCATTTTGCCACCACTATTCATAACTAAATATCCTGAACTTATGCATCCCGAATTTTTGAGTTGTTAGTGTCCTAAATTTTTAAGCTGCTAATTAAAAATTCAGGATTAAGTGTCCCAAATTTTTGAACTGTTAATTTAAAATTCAAGTGTTGAATCTGTGTGTTCTCATGGTGGAGATATCCGCCATAAACGGATGAGATGATGAGAGAGAAGGAATGTTCTAGATCTGAAAATAATTTATGTGTTTTACAAAATATCTCAATGTACAGGTTATATACATACGAATGACCACATATCTGACTAGTAGGTGAAAGTACAAAACTACCCCTAACGAACCTAACTAACATATATAAATACAAATACAATGTAAGTCTCAATACCCCCCACCCCACCCCGAAGTTAGAGGTGAGGAACTCACTGCCAACTTGCCAAGAATAGCAGAATGTTTAATCTCTGTGAGAGCTTTGGTTAGGATATCCGCCAACTATGTATTGGTGGAAACGTGATGCAGTATAATAAGACCATCTTGAATTTTGTCCCTCACAAAGTGACAGTCTACCTCTATGTGCTTAGTTCTCTCATGAAAAACTAGATTTCTTGCAATGTGAACAGCTGTCAAACTGTCACAAAACACAGGAATAGGATTACTGTACACCACTGCTAGTTCCTCCATCAACCTTTTGGCCCACACTAACTCTCCTACCACTTTCATTATTGACATGTACTCTGCTTCAGTAGAAGATAGTGATATTGTACTCTGCTTCTTGAACTTCCAGTTAATGGGGCTATCACCAAGTAAGACAATATAGCCAATGACCGACTTCCTTGAGTCAGGGCAAGATGCCCAGTCTGAATCACAATAAGCTCTTAGCCCATAATTAGGATCCTTGGAAAGAAATATTCCCAATGAAGGGTCTTGTTTCAGGTATCTTAGAATATGCAAAGCAGCCTTCAGATGTGGCTCCCTTGGGGCTTGCATACACTGGCTCAGGTAGGGGTGTGCATTCGAATTGGTTTATCGATAAATCGAATCGATTATTTGTTATCGGTTTATCGATTTATCGATTCCGATTTCGAAATTTTCCTTATCGAGTTATCGATTTCGATTTCGATTTTGTCCTCTTCGGTTACCAGTTTATCGATAAACCGATAAGATATACTAAAGAGACAAATATACCCTTATTCTATAATACCCTTTCCTTTACCCTAAGTCCCTAACACTATGATTTCCTCTACCCATTCTTCAGCGCCGCTTTTACCATTCTTCGGAGTGAATTAGCCGTGATAATGTATTTTGTTTTTTTATACCGTTGGAGTGTCGGTGGAATACATTTGATCCCTTTCTTTAGTTTCGTTGCATATGCTTGTTGACACAATTTTTATGATATAAACGGTGTTCGTCTTATTTTAGCTTCTTTTTGTCCATATTAGTTAGGCGTGTTTATAGCGATATACTTTTCGTGGAATCCCGCAAATTTTCTTATTGGTGTAATCGATAAGCCCCAAAAATCGATAAATCGAAATCGAAAAAATCGAAACCTTATTGAAACGATAACGATAAGCATATGTACAAATCAATAAGCGATAAGTAATTATCGATAAGGGTCAAAATCGAATGTACACCCCTAGGCTCAGTTGTCGAACACTGTATGCTATGTCCAATCTTGTATTAGTGAAGAAATTGAGCTTTCCAACCAATTTTCTATAATACATTGGGTCTGAGAGTAAGGGTCCTTCTCCAGCCTTCAACTTGATTGTGGAATCAAGAGGAAATGATACAGTAATGTAACCTAAGAAATCATACTCCTTCAACAGATCATTAGTGAACTTCCTTTGAGTCATCAGGACTCCATTAGCTTGATACAGTATCTTCAGACCCAAAAAGTAATGCAATATCCCTAAATCTTTGATCTTGAATTGGTTGTGCAGGAATGTCTTTAGTCTTGCTATCTCTTCTAAGTCATTGCTAGTCAGGATCACATTATCTACATAGACTACCACAAACACCACTGAAGATCCTTCCTTCTTATAGAACAGTGAATAGTCACTTGCTGAGTGCTGAAAACCCTTTGAACATAAGGATTCTGTCAATTTGTCATACCATTGTCTGCTAGCTTGTTTGAGCCCATATAGAGATTTTCTGAGCCTGCACACCAGCTTAGTGTTATCTACCATCAAACCCTGTGGAATCTCCATGTATACTTCTTTATGTAAGTATCTATGGAGAAAAGCATTATTTACATCCAATTGGTAAAGACCCCACCCCCTTTTTACTACAGTGGTGACCAATGTCCTAACTGTAGCGATTTTCACCACTAGGGAGTAAGGCTGTTCATTTGGATCAAATATCCAAAATCCGAATCAATCCGTTCAATTTCAGATTGGATCGGATTTCAGATTGTATTTATTAAAATTTCGAATTTTGGATCGGATTCGGATTGGTATAATATTAATACCGATCCGATCTGATCCAAAATTCGAAATTATTAGGGCGTGTATTAAAACTAAATTATAATTTCGGATAATTAATACTTCTTTTACATTTTTCTCCAAGTTATTACCTTTACAATTGGTGAATTTAGCTATATTTGGCACCATAGTACTCTCATAATTGCAGAAACATGAATTTTTCTTACTATATTTCCTCTTTTACAAAGAAAATATACATATGAGTTTGCAACTTTGATGCATAATAATCCGATCCGAAATTCAAAAATTTGATCTGATCCAAACTTTAAAATCTGATCCAATCCGGTATTAATTCAGATCGGATTCGAATTATATTTTTCAGAATCCGAAATTCGACCCGAAATATGCTAAATTCTATCCGATATGATTCATGCACAACCCTACTAGGGAGAATGTCTCAGTATAATTAATCACTGCTTCCTGAGTGTAACCTTTTACCATAAGTTTGTCTTTTAATCTCTCCATACTCCCATCAACTTTGTGCTTGATTTTGTACACTCACTTGCAACCTATAGCTTTCTTCCCTGCAGGTAAATGTACTAAATCCCAAGTATGGTTAGTGTGTAAGGCCTGAAATTCCTGTGTCATAGCTGCCTGCCATGCAGGATTCACAGCTGCATCCTCATAAGAGTTTGGCTCACAGTCATGTGAAATGTTTCTCAAGAGCTGCTGACTTTCATGGTTAAAAGTATTGCATGCAACATGATGCTTATTAGCAAACAATATGGTAAGTGAAGTTTGATTGATTTGGGAAGTGCTAGGCTGTAAATTTAGTAAGGAGTAAATATATTCCTTAAGGTGTAAGGGAGTTGTGTGAGTTCTGGATGATCTTCTCAATTGTGGAAGATATGACTGGTTGGTGAGGGTGGAATCATCATTTTGTTGTTGTGTATATCTTTCAGGGGAAGTAGTAGCCTGATTAGTAGCGATTATGTTTTCAAGTGGTGAAACTAGGGCTATTTATTTGGATCGAATATCCGAAATCCGAATCGATACGTTTAATTTCGGATTGGATCGAATTTCGGATTGTGTTTGTTAAGATTTTGAAATTCGGATCGGATTCGAATTGGTATAATTTTAATACAGATCCGATTCGATCCAAAATTCGAAATTATTAGGGCGTGTATAAATACTAAACTATAATTTCGGATAATTAGTACTTTCTTTACATTTTTCTCCAAGTTATTACCTTTACAATTAATGGATTTTGATATATTGGCACCATAGTAGTCTCATAATTGCATAAACATGAATTTTTCTTACTGTATTGCCTCTTTTACAAAGAAAATATACATATGAGTTTGCAACTTTGAGACATAATAGTCCAATCCGATCCGAAATCCAAAAATCCGATCCCATTCAACTTTAAAATTCGATCTGATCCGATATTAATTCAGATAGAATTCGGATTGTATTTTCTAGAATTCGAAATCCGAAATCCGAAATGTGCTAAATCTAATCTGATCCATTCCATTCACAACCCTAGGTAAAGCAATATGGGTAGGTGAATTATTAGGTGAGTCAGTGGTGACAGAGTCTAAGGAGTGTGCATTCCTGTCAGATAGGTGACTATCTCTCAAACTACAAGGATCAGGATCAATACATGTAGAAGTGGAATCTGAAAATGATCTAGGGACTAGAAGGATTTGACTCAGATTTAGTGGCAAAAGGAAATATATTCTCATGAAACTAGACATCCCTGGAAACATATATCCTCTTAGTGGCCAAGTCTAGGACCTTGTACCCTTTTGTCCCAAAGGGATATCCTATGAACACATGAGGTGTGGATCTTGGTTCAAATTTATCCTTATTACTTTTCAAAGTAGTAGGATAACACAAGCAACCAAAGCTCCTAAGCTGAGAATAATTGATCTTACTATCATATAAAATCTCAAAAGGACATTTATTTTTAAGGATTGTGGAAGGCAATTTGTTTATCAGGTATGTGGCAGTGAGGATGCACCCCCCCTTCCCCCCCCCCAATATTTCATGAGTAATTTGAACTGGTATAATAATGCCCTGGCTGTCTCAAGTAGGTATTTATATTTTCTCTCCACCATATTATTTTGTTGTGGTGTGTATGGACATATTTTTTTGGTGAACAATTCCCTTGGTTTGAAAGTATGACATTGATTCATTATTGACAAATTCTAGGCCATTCTCAAACCTAATGATTTTAACTGTGGTTTGAACTGATTTTCTATCATAGAGATGAAGGCTTTGAGGATCTGGAGAACATTACTCTTACAACTCAACAAGTGAGTCCAAGTTGATCTACTAAAATCATCAACCAAGGTTAGGAAGTATTTATAATTGTCACGTGTGTTTACATGATAAGGACCCCATAGATTCAAATGTATTAGTTCAAAGATCTTATTGGAAGTGGTAGTACTGTGGGCAAATGGAAGTCTGGTTTGTCTAGCCATTGGGCAAATTGGGTAAAAGAAAGGCTGCCTAGGAGCAAAAGTGACAGGCATTGTGGAAATTTCCTTTATTTTTACAAAAGGTACATGTCCTAGTCTATTGTGCCATAAGTGATCAATAGTATTTCCATGAGACATAATAAAAGACATTGAAATGGAATTAACAGTAGATGAGTCAGTCTTATTAATTAAATGAAGCATATTTACATCATTAGGTGGGCATGATGATTTATCTACAAATGCAAATGAATGAAGAAGATGACTCTTAACTCTATTTGTAGTATTAACAGATGTAGGAAGACATGAACTAAAGTGCTTGAAAAGATCAAAGTTGAAAGCAGAATTGAAATTTGACTTAGATTCATGACCGAGACACATTGAGCAGAGGAAGTATAGGCCACTTCTTGCCTTACCAATTACCAGAGGCCTCTTTATTGAAGGGGCCTACATTAGAAAAAGATACTTATTGAAGTTAACCATACAATTGAGATGCATAGTTAATGAATGAATTGAGATGAGATTAAATTTGAAATTGGGTACATATAATCTCTAAACAAAGTTAGACTAGGACCAAGGAATGCATCTCCTATTTCTGTCATTTTTGACTCTGTATCCATTAGGAAGGGTAACTAAAAAGGGATAGGGTAAAGTTTTGATGTTGGTTAGAAAGGATTTTCTGTAAGTCATGTGATTTGAGGCTGCACTATATAGAATCCATAAGTAATCAATAGATTTAGAACATTTACACATAGTTATTTCTGCAATCTCTTTATAAGTAGAGCAAGCTAAAATACCTGCAAAGTTTGCAACTCCACAAGCAAGGTTATTTGGATTCTCCCCTGTATTTCTAGCTTGGAAGGTCTCCAGCATGTTCAACAGTTGTCCATATTGTTCCTTTGTCAAACCTGGCACACCTTGGTTTGGATTCTTGTTCTTTGGACCTTCAATACTTCCACCAAATGACTCTTCACAACCTCCATGAACATTTGTAGCAGACCTTGCATTTCTGTCCTTAGTGAACTTGAAGTCTTGTGTAAATCCATGTATCCTATAACATGTTTCTTTTATGTGCTCTGGCTTCTTGCAATAGTCACATAAAAGTCTTGATTTGTTGTGTGTGTGACTTCCATTTCCTCTGAATGAATTGTTCCTTGTACCCGGTCTATGTAGAGCATAGTTAGTTCTGAATATGTTTTGGTCAGGCCCATTGACATTGAGTGATGGAGATTCCATAGCCAATTGGTTACTTGGCCTGACTCCTATTTGTTTCTCCTCTTGAATTAGAATGGAGAAGTCTTGTGCAATGCTAGGCAATGGGTTCATCATTAAGATGCTACCTCTCAAAACTGTATATACTTCGTTAATTCCCATTAGAAACTGAATTAGTCTGCGATCCTATTCAGTTTTGTGCATGTTTTACTTGGCTCCACAAGTGCATTGACAGCTATATTGTGCACGGTCATTTAAAGTGTTTAGTTCCTCCCAAAGTCTCTTCATTTTTGTATAGTATCCTGTGATGTCCAAAGCACCTTGACTAAGGTCATTTATTTCCTTTTGAAGCTGATAAAGCTTTGCCCCATTGGTTTGATCATATCGATCCTCCAGCTCTTGCCATAACTCCTTGGCATCACTGACGTATTGTAGACTGTTTGCCAAGTCCCTTGAGAGTGAGTTAAGAATCCATGATGTCACCATGTCATCGCATCGAGCCCATTGGTCGAAATTTGCATTATCGGAGCCCGACTTCTTACATTTTTCGGTGATGAATCCGACTTTATTCTTCACGGAAAGAGCTCTGAGAACACCTCTCCTCCAGGATCTATAACCAGTTCCATTAAAAGCTACCGGTACCAGCACTGTTCCAGCACTCTCAGATGGGTGCATGTAGAGTAGACTAGTTGTATCTAGGCTAGGGTTAGTTATATCTAAGGTATCCTTATCTCCGACCACGATTCAGCTCAAACTAGTGAATAATACTGATCAATTGTGAAGGAAATGAGAGAAAATCACTCGATTAACCTGTGAATCTGAAAAACCCTAAATCCTCGATTCTGCGATTTGAGGCCAGGAATGAAAGAGAAACTCCGATTAACAACGATATGAAGAAGTCGAGATAGACGATCTCACAACTAGCGCATGCACTTTGATACCATATTGAATCTGTGTGTTCTCATGGTGGAGATATTCGCTATTGACGAATGAGCTGATGAGAGAGAAGAGAGAAGGAATGTTCGAGATCTAAAAAATGATTTCTGTGTATTACAAAATATCTCAATGTACATGTTATATAAATACGAAGGACCACATATCTGACTACTAGGTGAAAGTACAAAACTGCCCCTAACTAACCTAACTAACATATACAAATACAAATACAATGTAAGTCTCAATATCAGGACTTAAGATTTGAATATTTTGACACAACTAGTATTAAAACTCGCGCGATGCGCGTATGGTACTTTTGAATATTAGTGTGATAATATTATTCTTAATTATCTGCTCACTTCAATGCTATTAAGTATGGTAAATTTACTACATAAATAAGAAATATGGTCAAGGATGATGAATTTAAAAGGTAGTCATCTCAAACTCAAAAATCACATAGTTTCTAATCGTACACTTTAAGAACCTTTTTTCTAGGTTCCTAAAATGGGATGTTGTGGCATAAAGGATGGAGTATTGATTCCCTTTTTTTCATTTTACAGAGGTGACATCAATATCTCATACATAAAACATATATAAGAACTTTAAAGTTTCACAAACACAAGTAGATACGGAAACCTTAACTACAATAAGACACTTATTCAACTCTTGATTCATTCACTTAACTCATATATAACATTAGAAGGTTCCTTCTCATCATTCTATGAATGATATAACAAAATAAACGTTCAAATGCGATAATTCAAAACTTTCCAGTAGCTCTTCTAATATCAATCAAGTCGATAACATAAAGAGTCAAGTAACTTTAGATTATAAATCAAGATTCTAAATGGCAGAAACCAAATTAAAATACAACTTAAACTACTTCTCCTTCGTACCAAACTACTTACTAATGCGATCGTCTAAATAACCTTATTTCATAGATTTTTCTCATGTTTAATCACTCTTTTGACCTTATTACTTGATAATTATGCAAGATTATAATCAACTTCTACTACATATGATCCAGTCTCTTCTCTACTTCTCTTGGCAGGATGCCTTGCAGGAGAAAACATCTCATTATCAGCTATGAAAACCTACAAAAAGAAAATAGTTAACAAATAATCAGAAAAGACAAATAAATTATTAAAATCATATTGTAGATGAGAAACAGAATGTATGAGATACTAAAGTCACCCTCGTAAAATGGAAATGTCAGTTATACATAGAACCTTACATCCCATCACTACTAAGCTCGAGTTAATCAAGCTTAAATCTTCTAAAGGAAGACTCCTCCAACTACATTCATGCATGATATCACACTTCCACCTCTCTGAGTAAGAATCAGGACTAAGAGTATATCCAAAAGGTATATAATAAGAAAAAAAAATTAGTGTAAATAATGAGATCTACCTTAAATTAACAATAAACTTTCTTCTATGACTCTCGATGGGCTAAAAGGAGAGAGGGTCAGGAAAACATCCACCTATTTTTTTCTGTCTTTGATTTGCTTTGACAAACCAGAAATATCTTCAAGTATTTCATCTCAAGGGCTCTCACGTTTCACACTTTGTGGTGCATTGACACCACTATATAATAACAAATTTCTGTTAAAGTTAAGGCTTTATCTCAGGAAAAAGCTAGATTCAGCAGGTCAAAAACTGTCTTCAACTTCATGCTGACTGTCATTGCAGGATAAAACCAACATCACCAGAAGTTTAATGTCCGGGCCTATAAATATAGGATTTCCCTCTTCAACAACAAAGAACATGGAAAATTGTACAGAATGTCCACGATTTGGGTAAAGGAGAGATGCAACTGGACTGCATTCAGACATATAGTAAAATTTTCCACTAACTGCGAAAGTCAAATATCCCATCACAAAGAATTAACTCTGGAAACACTAATATACATGTAGTTGGGGAGCTTCTCGTCACCACCACAAATAGAGCAGTAAAAAACTAGAAAGATCCTTCTATGTTTGAAAAATGGAAAGGAAAACATTGTTTCAGCTCTGGACATACTATAAACACGAAAATAAGTTATACTCTATATTAAATACTCTGTATAAGGTTATCGTTCTCGCTGATCTTAACAGCTCTTAACAGTCACTTTAAACATGACTTTTTTTGTCAAGAATGTCATATGACTCCACTGGATAAGAACACTCATCAACAACACCAGAAGTCTAAGACCAGATTAGTGTTAGAAGTTCTAAAACACAAAAAGAAATAAAATAAAAAGTACATTTACTAAACCATCCCTTAAATCATTAGCCTACTTTTCATTCTGGTAGACTACATTACATCATTTTATGATATACTTCTTATTTTGTTTCATTATTCATGTTAATTTAATAATAACAATATCATTTGTCTACAAAGATTGTTGGTGCCAAAAAATGGCAAAGGGAGTGGTATCAAAAAAATAATAGAGCGTTTCATTTTGTGTGATATAACAAATGACCAATTCCTATAACTATAAGGGTGTATTGGAGGTGCGAGTTAATTTTTACTATAATTTTGCAT